CTTTTTGAATGTGCAATTATAGGGCTTCTTCTTTGGTAAAATCTCCAAATCTGTACAGTAAAAATGTTTGATATTCATCATGGTAGTAGTCAGAGTGGTCCTTGACATGAGTACACTGCATGACCATGCAATTATAGGGCTTTTACTTTGAAGAAATCTCAATCTGTACAGTAAAAATGTTTCACTTTTCTATATCAGCCTATACATGCACTACAATTCAAGCGTTCAAGTACCGGTACTTTAGAAAAGCAGCGATTGGAGCGCACTCACTGTTCCGCTCCGTGTCAGGCTGCCTGCACACATTGATGGCGCAGCTCTCACACATGCAAGTTATCAGGGGAGACGCGCCCTCATGTAGCAGACTGCTCACCCATATACAGCCTAACACGATTAGTCTTAGCCTAGCTTAGCTCGGGTGACCAGACGTCCTCTTTTACCCGGACGCATTTTTTAGGTCTTGAAAAGAGGAAATGTCCGGGTATAAGAGGACGTCCGCTTTGTCTTGTGTTGCACTTGCTTGATGTTTGACTGTGTTTGGAAAATTGTTGACTTGCTAGTTTGTCATAAACAAAGTAAGTTTAGCCGCTAGCAGACATCTCGTTAGCAATGTTAGCAAGCTAGTTATAAAACGCTAGCATATTGATGCTAGTATTAAGTGCTCACGAGTCGGTTTCTTTGTAATGTTATAGGGATACTTTTCACTAAACCTTGGAGTGAGACGTTGGGGGTGAAGCTACGGCTGACGGGGGGTGTAAGTTACGCTACGTGCAGCGAATCGGGTTATAGATGCGCCGTTTAGATGAACCAGCGCAGATTCTTTTTTTCGAGTAATAAATTAGATGTGTGCCGTGAGTGCGTGTGAAAACATGGAAACACGCGTGTCACACAAGGAAACCGTGAGAGTTGGCAGCCCTGTAGCTTTGTTGCTAGCTTGACAACAACGTTCCTAACAGTCAAACATCAAGCAACACAAGACAAAGCAAGACCCCAAATAAGTTCCTGAATAGTCCAGCAGAAATATATACATGCAAAATAACCTACAATTTCACTCATGTGGGCCTATATGATCATGAGGTCAGAATGCACACAAAATTGTACCAAATAATACACACTTGATGCAATAGGCTACATGCTTGTGGAGCCTGAGGGTGGATCTTCACCTAATCCTTTTTAATTTAAGTTAAGGAAATATGAATGTGAGAATATCAAACTATGCAAGTAAATAAGCATTGTTCATCCCACAGACAGTCAAACAGATATCAGGTAAAAAAAGGAAACTTACAGATGTTTTATTTATTACTATCATAGATAAATATATTCCATTATCCTATTTGTGGTATTGTATCGGGTACCGTAATATTTTGGCAGGTATAGTATCAAAGTCATAATTTTTGTATCGTGAGAACCCTATTGTATAGTATTCGTGGGTTATCTAAATCACTGTTAAATACAAATGCACAGAGGCGAGGATGCAGTACAAGTTAGATCCTTTACTGGCGGCAACTGTCAGGCATGAACAAACAATCATAGAACACCGTCGTAGTGACAGTCAAACACAATCGAGCACCGAGTGCTCGATCCAATATACCACATCCCTCTTTTCCGACTGAGAAGTGGCATACGTATTAGTTACCTCAACAGTTAACTCTTTGCTTACCATTAATGCTATGGCATCAACATTAAACATGTCTTTTCTACTTGCATACTTCAAAGGTTAATAAAGCATGTTTCCAATAGACTTATGGCTTTCATTAAACATTACAAACCACTTTCCTGCCAAGCATTCTGGAGAAACATTTAAGCATTTAGAACATTAAACACTCTTGAAACATTTCAGCTTGAACACTCCTCATTCTCTTCCCTTTTTTTAACACATTTGAATGGACTGGAATGCACTGGAACACGGAAGTGTGCTCCGTAGAACTTTTCCCATCAACATCTGTGCGGCGACTCATTCAGTCCTGTCACCGGTGTGTTCCTCAGTGACAGCAACACTAGATGTGGGTCGGTGCCGGTCTGCGTTGCCTTCTTCAGCGAATGTTTTACAGTCTTTATGGCTCTCTCAGTCATTCCATTTGAAGAGGGAAAACCTGGGCTGGAGTGTGTGAGTTTGAATTCCCATGAAGCTGCAAATGACGTCATCTCATAACTGGCAAATGGGACATGATCACTCACTATCTCCCTAGGAATCCTGTGTCTGGCAAAAACAGACTTCATTTTCTGGTTCACTGTGTAGGCTGTTTTATCAGGCAGATTAAGCAGGATTTTTGGTCAGGTAATCAACTAACAACAGATATGACTGACCATGTAGCTCGAAGATATCGGCTCCGACTTTCATCCATGGCAGTTCTGGAATCTGATGTGGTATGAGCGGCCGATGTCTCGTGCCATGCCAGGCCAGTAGAGGGATTTTCTTGTTTTGGCTTTTGTGTGCTGCACTCCTTGGTGGGCAAGATGCAGCTTCTCCAGAATCATACTCCTGAAGCTCTGGGGTATGATGATTTTGTCTCCGACCATGACGATGTCATTCTCAATGCTTTTATTGTCCTTGACAGACCAGTAGCCGTGTAGTTTCCTGTCCACACTTTTATTTTTCGTGGGCCAGCCATTCCTGTGTTTCTCACACACCGCTTGTAACACGCTATCTGCTGCCGTTTCCCTTTTCAGTTGGTTGAGTGTTTCCTCGCTCAAGGAATCAGTGGCCTCCAAGGCATACACAACTCTCTCATCACAGGGGTCCTCGTTAACGTTTTCACCTTCTCTGCTTGCAGTGGCACGTGAGAGTGTGTCGGCGATGTGCACCACTGCCAAGCTACATCCTTCTTAAGCAGCTGCCTGAGGGATGCTGTGAGTGAGGCTTCATTCAGTATCTACTGTGCCAGGAATTTTGTCATTCCCAGCAGACGTTGGAGACTTTGTTTGTCTTCTGGGGTTGGCATATCGACAATTGCTTTGATCTTTGTGTCGTCAGCCTTCTGTCCTGCTGCCGTGATGATGTGTTCCATATACTTTACTGTGTCAATTTTGAACTGGATCTCGTCTTTGTTAAACTTCACATGTGCAGTATTTGGTCTCTCCAACACTTTCTGCAGGATGTCATCATGTTCCTGCTCTGATGACGCTGCGATGATCATGTCGTCTGCTATGATATACACACCTGGGATGTCGCTGAAGGTCTCGCAGTTCTTCTGTTGGAACACTTCGCTGGCAGACCTGATCCCGAATGGGAGTCTGAGGAAGCGGAACCGGCCCCACGGCGTATTGAAGGTGCAAAGCTTAGACGATAGCTCATCTAGCTTGATCTGCCAGTATCCATCCTTCTCATCTAGGATGAAGAAGATGGATTTTCCTGCTAATCTGCTGCGCACGTCTTCCGGTGTAGGAATGGAATAGTGCTGACGCTTAACTGCCTCATTCAGGTTGCAAGGATCCAAACATACCCTTAGCGCACCATTCTTTTTCTTTGTGGCAACAAGACTGTTGACCCATTCTGTCAGTTCATTGACAGGGACAATCACTTTTCTGTTATGTAAGTCTTTGAGTGTCTCTCTCAGTGAATTCATGATGGAGAGGGGCACATTTCGGCATGCATGAATCACGGGCGTGACGCTGGGGTCAATGTGTATGTGATGAACACCGGGGAACTCGCCCAATCCTGTGAAGACCTCTGCATACCTCTGTAGCATCTCCTCTTTGGTAGCTGGAGCTTTTCCTGGTGACGGGGATCTTGCTGTGAGTGCCTAAACTCTTCTCACCAGCTGCAGGTCCTCACATTCATCTCCACCCAGAATCGGCTTGTCGGCCCGGCTTGACACATGAAAGTCCAGCATAGCTTTATGTTTGGTCGCCCTGCATTCTAGAGATGCAACACCATCTGTGGGCAGGCGGGCTCCACCAAATGCAATTAGGACAGTCACTGTGGGCCGAAGCTGAATCAGACCTGGTAGCTTCCGGAACATGTGCATGGGAAGCACATTTGCATCGGCGCCTGTGTCCAGGTGGAGTTAATTGCTACGCCTCTGACTGTGGCTGTTTCATGCCATACAGTGCCTTTAGCTTGGTGAGCTGTTTTCTTTTCGTATTTTCCAGCCATGCATGTGTCCATGGCTCCGCGCAAAGTGAGCGCATTATCACGTAACAGTCTCTCCTTCAGACGAATATCGTTTATGCTAAACCCCAATTTATCCCTAATTATGTCATCTTCATTTCTGCCAAACTTACAGTCTTTGCTCTTCAGGCGTAGCTCTGTGATGAATCTGTCCACCGATATTCCTGCTGACATCGCGTGTGACCAGAATTGATGGCGTTCAACGAGGATGCAGCACAAGTTAGATCCTTTTCTGGCGGCAAATCAAACAACTGCCAGGCATGAACAAACAATCATAGAACACCGTCGTAGTGACAGTCAAACACAATCGAGCACCGAGTGCTCGATCCAATATACCACAGCAACCTTCCAATCTCTCCTCTGAACTTTGAATGTGGGAAAACATCCGGGTTGTGACCACGTGAACACAGCTCACTCACATGACAGGAGGCTGTGGGAGCCCGATTTTTATGCTCGTTCGACCTCAAAATAAAAAGGAAAAGTGCATTTCAACCACTGATCGTCGTGTTAATGAATGAATCCAAGATTATCATCAACCTTCACTAACAAGGCGCAGACCTCATGTCCGACATTGAGCTGCTGCTTTCCCAAAAGGGTTGAAGAGGACACGAAAGTTAACCTCGAGATGTTAGAAGACACCATGCACAGAAAACGTATAATTTAAAAAAATCACAACTACTAACTTTCCAAAGAAAAATACCAAAATGGGCGTTTGCAGCCACAGTCCCATTATCTGACAATAACGCCAAAAATACTCTTACCTAAAACAGGCTAAACTTGTGTCAGCACGCTTGCAAAACTATTTCCCGCAGTGCCCCATTAGCTCTCCTCGTTAGCTTTCGGCGTCCGCCGAATATCGCCAGAAGGCTTTAGCTTAGCGCGAGACACGTACCGCGCTCGTGAAGAGCTCGTCCCCGACGTCGTCCTCGTCGCTGTCGCGGCCTCCCACCTCCTCTGAGTCCAGCACATCGTGGTCCTCGGAGTCGGGGAACGGAGGAGGACTGCGCTCCGAGCTGGTCGCCATCTTCAATCTGCTTAAAACACACGCGAAGGAGAGGCGACGTCAACTGCTCCGCACACTCTCTCCCTATGTGTGTGTGTGTGTGTGTGTGTGTGTGTGTGTGTGTGTGTGTGTGTGTGTGTGTGTGTGTGTGTGTGTGTGTGTGTGTGTGTGTGTGTGTGTGTGTGTGTCTGCCTGGCGGACTGACGTGTGACCCTTTCAGTAAAAAAAGGCAAAAAAAATCTCCGCTGTGGCGGAAGTTCACCAGAGGACCGGGAGCTGCGACTGACTGGAGGCTTCGGGACGTTCACAGAGCACCGCTGTCCTCTTTTTACTTCCTGGTCCTCCTTCTTGTCGGGTTAGCTTCGCTGCTAGCCACCAGCCATGAGACGGATGCAGCAGTGAGCTGGACATGATAGAAACGTGTACGTTTTGATAGTCCCCTTTACCGTAAAAAACAGAAAACGAAAACACTCGTTTTTCGTTTTAAATCCAAAACGGTAAAACGGAAGGGGCAGTCGTTTTCTCGTTTTTCCTTTAGAACCAAAAAACGAGACAAACTCACATCTTTTTACTCCACTTTTGGGGTTTTGACCATGAAACGAAAATACGAAGCGGAGCCACTAAACCGGAAGTACGTAGATTTTCAAGAGTCAACGCAATGGAACCTGTATATGCTAGAAATCCAATTTCAACAATTAAATTGTCACAATCTACAGCACACAGAAATACAAATGCATACATTCTGCTACTACAAAAAAGGTTTATCGTTTAACTGTGTATTGTGTGACTTTTTAATAATTCATGTAAATTATATTGAGGCTTTAAGTTATGTATAATCGGACTGAGCTGTCTGTCTGCTCAGCTGCATCACAAACCAATGGAAATACCAGACGGCGAACTCTCCTAAAGCACGCGGCGGATTAATACGTTCTCAACAGCCAGATCACAAACGTGACCTGGACCTCATCACGCAGTACGTCGGCTCAGCGAACCAAGTGGCGGATGAATATCGTTAACCAGTGAGAGTGAGTCGCTGGTTAACGCGAGAGTGAGTCGACTTTTGAAAACCGGCGCGACAGCTCGGAAAAGAAAGAGCCTGAGGTGAGTGGATCCATCAAAATATCATTCAACCCAGTTAGTAAATGTAGAGAAAGTTGTTGTCATTTTAATATATTGTCCGTAAATGCATGACACTAGAGGTTAGTTTAATGCAGTTGTTCCAATATGGCAAATAGTACCGTGTTAAAGTAGCGTCAGCTTTCAACCATTGAACCGTAAATCCAGAGGCTGACAGAGCGGTTGTTGAACAATAGTACATAAAGTCCTTTCATTATTAATGTTTTAGAGGACATTTAGAAAAATATAATTTAATCAAGCCAACGTTCATGTAACTTTTAATTAATGATGGACCTTGTGGCTAAAATATCTGCAGTTGTTTCGAGCGGACGCGCGCTCTCTGGTGCGCACGGACACGTGCCGTGTTCTGCCTCATCTGTACAATCTCTCTCTTAGGGGATCTCCTCCCGCTCCATGCGGTCTATCGGAGGGACGCCTTTTATGGCTACTTGTCCTGCACCATCCCCGCCACTGGTCGTTGTATCGGTAGGTATAAGCTCCAAACATTCCCCATGAAACTGGCGCTTTTTGAAAACCCGTCTGTCCTTTTCCGCTCTCTGTGTGCAGGTGGCTGAGAACAAGACTAACCGTGACTTTGGAGCGACCCGGATGTACCTGCGGGGAAGACCGGCTGCGGTAAAAGTGTAACCCTCAAACAGATCGCTTGATGGTTGGCGATGGAGGCCAGTTGCACACCTGCTGCAGGGCACCTGGCTGGAAGCGGGTCCGCCAAGGTCACTGACCTCCGCACCGCTGTCAAGGATGATGTAAGATTAGCGGTCTTATCCGTGTTTCTCCACCATCAAATGCGTGGTCCCTGCTGAAAACACGTTCTCTTCTCTAGGCAAGCAAACAGCAACATTCATGTTCGTCAATGTGAGAACGGTGGACCGTTTCTACTGTCTGATCCGTGATCTGAAGCAGTTACGAGGCCAGCTGGACGCAGTCGTCGATGACCAGATCCCAAGAGCGCCAGACGTCTACAAAGCTGCAGACACTAAAGACATTTTGAACTGCCTCAAGAAAGATGTATGAAGTTGCTCATTATTTGTAAATTGAAGGCCATTTTACATTTATTTGAAAGGTTTTTCTGTCTGAATATTTTATGAATATTCTGTTTAACTCCACTAAATATTTTTGTTTAAATACAGTATAGACGTTGTTAGATATCTGCATGTTATAATGTAAAAACTATTTATTTTAATGTGAGAAATAAAGGATTTTTGCAACAACTCGTGGTGTTTCTCATAACTATAAATTGCCATTTAAAACAATGCATACTTTTAAGTTAAATTAACTAGGAAAGTAATTTTAACTAAAATAATCAGACCTAGTTAACACAAAGCATGATAATAAGTTCTACATCGTTTATACTTGTGTTGCTAAATTGAAAGTACTACTTTGGACAAGTGAACCCAATGCATGTTAAGTTTCTTTTAAACATGCATTGCTAAGTTGAATAAACATGTACTACAGTCATGTGAACTTAGCAGTCCAGAGCAGAGTTAAACACATTATGAACTGTACCAAATTGTAAATCCAATTTGATTCTAGTCAAAAGCGTAAGACAGCTTTTGAACTCATGTTTGTAAGTTGAAACCCCTTACATTTTTTACAGTGACACAGATGTATTTTCATTCATCCATGTGCACAGCAATATGCATTCAAATCGGTTCACTGTTGGACGCAATATAGTTGATAATGTAGGTAATGATTTAGCTAAAAATATAATTCAATCAAAGTGGCTTACTGTCACACTCATTGCTCTTGGCTCTGATATTTATTTACCATGTATTGTGTTGCTTGAGTGAACGCAGACAACCCAATGAGAGGCAGAGTAAACGTGTTCACATCTCCACCAGTTGGTGGCAGAATACGTGTATTTAAACCATATCTAGGTTATTACAGATGTATTTAATGCAGTTTATTGTATGTGATTTTTATGGTTCATTTGCAACCATTGTTGTATACATCTTGTTATATTTATTTCATGGAAGAGGGAACATGTGTTTATTAAGCAATAAGTAATGTCAGTTTATGAATAGAGATGTTTGTTTTCATTAATTCTGGTTTATTTGTCACACTTCCATCCAAAATCGAACGGTCAGGCCCAAGAGGTCAAAGGGCCCTGATGATAGGAAATAATGTTGCTCAAATGCTGCGGTATAAGGAAAATGACTTGTATGGCTTTATGGCATTCAGACATTTTGACTCTAGAACATTTTACATTTTTCTCATTAGACAAGAACAATAAAGAAATGAATTCATTCTCTTTTCGTCATTGCCTCCATGTTACCTTTCATGTGACCCTTAGAGTGATCTCTGGAGCTGTGGACGGATCCCACTGTCAGGTCACCAAAGTCACTGGTCACATTTATCCTGAGGACACTGGAGGAGTCACATGGTATGTCTTGAGGTGGACAGAATCTGTCCACAGGACAAGTAGAGTGGCAAGAAACGTTTAGGAGTTTTCCACAAGCCATGTGAGACGCACAGCAAACATGTGGAAGAAGATGCTCTGGTCAGATGAGACCAAAACTGAATTTTTTGGCCTCAATGCCAAACGCTGTATGTGGTGGACACCCAACACTGAGCACAACACGCCAACGGGGAAATATGGTGTCATGGCATCGTTTCACATTCTATATTTGTCCTGTTTACAAGTAGATGAAAGAGATAAATATAACAAGTGCTGACAATGTCTTCTTGTAACACCAATCAGGCATTTGAGTCCATCTTGAAAAATTGTGGCAATTTATTGACGGCACTGTCCAGCAGCACAATAACATTTGTAAAGCACATTACATCTCTGCAGCTTCCTGATCATTAGCACTTGTCGGTGCCAAAGTGTGACACTGGTGTTAATGAGTCCACCTCTTGTCACCTCTTGGAAATAAAATGTCTCTGTATTTTTTTCAAAATAGTAACAAATCTGACGGCAATAAAACTGAAGTAATTTTCTTTGGAACACAGACCAACATTAGATCTTCTCATCCTTTGACCTCTTCGGTTTACATTCAGGATTGAAGTGTGACAGATAATGAGTATATATAAAGAAACCAAAAGTCCAGCATTAAATACATCTGTAATAACCATCATAAATAACGTAAACACAGTTAAATATGATTAAATCTATGGTTTAAATAAATTTATTCGCACGTTTACTCTGCGTCCTTGAACTGTCTCTGCTCGGCCCTCACTGACACAATGCGAGGGAAAGAAATATCTGATCCAAGGGCAACGAGTGTGCGTGTTGTCAACTATTGGTGCTAATACATCCCGTCGGACCAGGATTTATTTATTTATATCCATTAACTTTTAACCGCTGGCATTGCAGATGGTTTTCTAGCATAAACCCACTCGAGCAGGACTCGGATGACGGTAAACAAGTTGTTGATGTCCACGCGGGACAATAGAACATTTAACTAATTTGTAGTGCATGACACACAATTTAACTATAACACTTATTTACTCAACGATGGCTGCTACTTCAGTGTGATTTTAAGGAAGTGGTTGCACTATATTTTACTACACTACATTGTTTTGACAGCTAGATCCTCTTCATGGATCACATTTAATTCTAACAAAACATATGAAAGCTTAAATGCAATGCGTGCATATTGTGTTTTTTTTGCCACTTTGATATTTTCATCCGCAAAACTGCTCGTCCCTCTCTCACTGAGAGCAAAACACTCGACCAGATCACGACTCTTTGCTGTCCTTGCGCCAAAATGGTGGAACGAGCTCTCTGAAGACATCAGGACCGCAGAGAGCCTTCACATCTTCCGCCGCAAACTAAAGACACACCTCTTCAGACTCTACCTTGACTAAAGACTAACAAATTGTAGCACTTAAATTGTACTTGTAACGTCACTCATCTATAGCAAATTGTAAATTGGCTTATTTGAGGAAATTGCACTTTCTTGTTTCTTGTTCTCCTGAGTTTGTACCCTATGGTTGAATGCACTTATTGTACGTCGCTTTGGATAAAAGCGTCCGCTAAATGACATGTAATGTAATGTAAAGACATCACTAGGTTAGCTGCTAAGCTAATGCTAATAGAAGTAACGTTGACGCTAAACAACGTCTAAGCTACTATTCGATTGAGCAAAAATTTGCTAGACGGTGAGGTGATTAACAACGCCTCACATGGATGAGATAATTTACTGCTTGTGATGAAAAATATCACGCTACAGTCAACTCAGTATAGCTAGAGCTGTGAAAAGTTCAATGACATCAAACACGCTTGCAACAGGAAGTGACGCAACACGCTTACCGTCAGAACAGGAAAACAAGTTGCTTCAGTCCGACTTCTGAACTTCTGGGGGAAAGCAGGAACTTCCTCTGCTGGCACTCAAAATAATACACCGTAGTTCAATGTCTTTTATCAGCGAGTGGTTTCTGTCTGCAGATCTGGCCTGGCTGGTGATTCTAAGAACCTGGGCACATTTTTCACTAAGAACACTGGACTTCCAGAGCTCTGCTCTGTTCCCAGCCTCAGCTCGGCCATCCTCTTCCGGGTGCTGATGCCTGAGAGCCCTAAGTTCCTCATAGAGGTATTTAAAGGTCCCTAGTTCTTGTTTTTTCTCGGATCTTGTGAGTTTTTTTGTCTTTACTTAAGTTCTTTCCCTGTCTTTGCCAGGTGGGACGAGAGAAAGAGGCGATCCGCGTCTTTCAGGCGATGTTTAGGATGAACATCTGGGGGAAAGGAAAGAATTTACAGGTATGGACTGAGCGATGTTCTTATACTCATCAATCATCTTTATTTGGTCACATGGACACGTGCAGCTTGTGTAGACAAGTATAAAGTACGTAGAAGTAGCATAAGATAGAGGTGTAAATGACGTGTAATAACGAGAAAAAAACAGAATGAACATTTCCTTTATTTTGCATTAGAATGAAAACCAACTGTAGGTGTATCGATTCTTGTCCTGAAGGAATTTGGTTTATGCACCAACTCCAAGCAAAGGGGGGAACCGGAGGAGACCAGAACTCGCGGCTCGCGCTATTAGGGAATACTTCTTATTGTGCTATTATCTTTACGCAATATACTGTTTCATTGTCCTGTTCTAATTGCGTTAAAACAGGAAATGGTGGACTCAACTGTATCTTCTCCACCAAACTGAATAGCAACTCAATATATTGGAGTCCAAGACACATTTGCAGACACTCATACGTTATCTTACGCACACATAAGTAAGCTGTGTTAGCTGTTTTAAACCTCGAGTCGACATACTCAGTTTGGTGTACAATGCCTTTTGCTACTACTGTTGTACTACTGACCTTTTTAACAAACAAGTGTCGGCTCATCATGCTTACATAGCTCAATAAAAGGAGACTGCATGGGGAAGTCTAGTCGGAGTTGGCTGCGATCAAGTGAAGAGTCCAGTACTCTAAGATTCTTGACCGGGCTCCCCTTGCAGCAAGTAAAACTTGCTGCAAGTCGACTCAGTGTATTTGTTCCTCGTGCTGTGACTGTTCTCTGGAGTAATCAGCAGGGTTCGTGGTTTCTAACTACGACCTAACAATCATTCTTCTGCCGCATAATCTCGGTCAGGGTGATTGTCTTAAAGTGTTCCTGCCATAGGTCAATCTCACACGGCTCGTACACACAGAGGGTCTTGGACTGTCGCACTGGTGGTAGCTGATAAAAGTCTCCAACATTACTATTACTGACATTCCTCCAAAGGGTTTGGGACTACCTTTGATCGGTTTCAGTCTTGCATCCACATAAGCAAACAAGGGCTTTGACACCATGGACACTTCATCAATGATGAGGATTTCAGCATTTAAAAGTTCTGATCGGACTTCATCCAGTTGGTTAAGAAGTCCTTGAAATGGAGGTTTCAGACTTCGTGGAAGCTTGAGCAGAGAGTGTTGATCCTGATATATTAAAGGCTGCAGTTCCAGTGAAAGCTGTCAACAGGACCGTGGGGTTTGATATGTCGACCTCCTCAGAATGGCTGGGCAGTTTGCACAGTATCTTAGATGCTTCTGAGTAGATGCATTTAATGAAATGTGACTTTCCTGTTCCAGCACCACCATTGACGTAAAAGAAAAACTTCTCAGGATTTAGGCCACAGACACGCTTTACGCACCAGTCTCTGACTGCATAGAACACACATGCTTGTTTCTGGTTCAGGTTCTGATACATTTGCCGTAGCAGTGTGGGGTCACAGGTTGGAGGCTCTTTGATGGTTCTAGTTTCTTTTGCAGCATTAGCCTGATTTCT